ACTGCCCACCAGTCGACGGCCATGTCGTCCATACCAATACCCAGAATCGATTCTGGTGCCAGATAGTCGGGCGTTCCAACGAACTTCTTCAACGGCTGTCCCGACCCACCTGAGTTGGTGTTCAAAGCCTGAAAGGACTCCGCGAGCGCATTCGAGCCAAAGATCTGTCCTGGACTTTCCAGCAATGCGCTGCTTGGGACCGGCACAATCTTGTTCCGAGGGGCGGCTGGTGAATCGAGATCGCGTCGGCTAGCAGGGGCATCGTGAGTAGTCTCAGAGGCTGTTGAAGACCCGGCATCACTGATGATACGGCCGCGCAGCGGGCCTGTGTAGAATGCCTGCGACTGGACGACATTGCTGAGCCCTGGAGTGGTCGGACTAGCAACGGCTCGCCATGGGCTGCTAAGCTTCTGAGATCCGTTCCTGCTCAGAGGTGTCCCGACGGATGTCGCCGACGTGGGCAAAGATCCTGGCCCGAAGCCAGATCCTGATGCTGACCCCGAGGCTGATCCCGATCCTGTCGAATCATCCTTGGCATGCCGCCCTTCAGAAGATCGGCCGTGATGCGGCCGCATAGTCCCTCGAGTCTGGCGGCCCAACAGACCGTATTTGGAAAGACCAAAGTCGGTAAGTTTCAGATGCCCTTTTTGATCAATGAGGAGGTTGTCAGGCTTCATGTCACGATGAACGACGCCTTGTTTGTGGAGCTGTTCAAGGCCGATGACTACCTCTGCGACGAAGATACGCGCCCACTCTTCGGGCAGGCCGCCAAGAGCTTTGCAGAGCGATGCACAGTCTCCGCCTGGCAAATACTCCATCACCAAGTACAGATATTCAGCACTCTGGAAAGTGAAGAAAAGCTTGACGACAAATGGCGACTGCGTCTGGGTCATCAGAATCATCCTTTCCGCCTTGACGTTGCGAATTTGATTCTTGGCAATCATGTCCGACTTTTTAAGGACTTTGATGGCATAGTAGTCGCCTGTGGTGCGTTTCTTTGCCAGAAAGACCGATCCAAATGCTCCTTTGCTGATGGGCTTGAGGATGTCGAAGTCTTTGATAGAAGAAGCCGTCGGTCTGGAGGACGGTGCCATGGGCGGCAGGCGTGGCGATACCGCTGCGGATGCGCTGAGTTGGGGACTGTTGCGCTGGGACAGGGATATGCGGCGCACCTTCCCAGCGCTACCCGCCAATTCGGGTAGCTGACGCGGCGAGAGTGGTGGCGTGTGCACCACGCCCGGCTGACTCAGAGTGGACATTCGGCGTGTCTGTAGTGTGGAAGTAGTGTTCACGCCCTTGCGTCTGGATTGCGCTTGCTGAGGGGCCTTTTCTGACTGCGTCGCACTGTTGTCCAATCCGCCGGATATGGGAATCGGCAAAGCATGCGCATCTGCAACTCCGCCCATCTGGCTCTCCACTCCTGGGATGTCATCATCGTCCCCAACACCAGGCGAGGGCGAGGGTTCTGATGAGGAGAAGGAAGGCAGACCACGGTCGTCACGTTCGAGGAGGATGCCTGAAGTGTGACCATCTTCTTCGTCCTCGTTCGAGTCGGGCTCGGATACTTCCAGGGCTGCGGACAGGTCGTGCACACGATCCAAAGTGGTCTCGTTGACACCAGCTGCGTCCTCGTCGGCACCCCTTGACGATTGGCCAGAAGTTCCGTCAGTGTCAGAGCCCTCGGCATCCGCCAGCGCTGCTTCAACTCGTGCTTCCCACTCCTGCCGCACAGTCTCCACGTAAATGATTGTGTTGAGCATTCGAGTCACCGCGCTAATTTTAACCTTGATAGCACTCTCCACGTCCATCGCCAACGTGTCGAGGCCACCATCTTCCACCGTTGGACGGCGCCAGTTGCGTGCATGACCGACCTTACCTTCTGATTCGGGAGATAACAAGCGCTGCTTTTCGATGGGCTGTTCGGCCACATCCTCTTTGACGGCAGGGGTGGAGATGGTGACTGCGCTTCGCAAAGCCTCGAGCAGGCTATCCAGGGCGCGCAAATGCTGTTTCCGAACACTTGCCGCGTGCGGATGACGCGGAGATATCGCTCGCGTCGCCATCTCCAGCGCAGATGGAGGCTCGTTCGATGGATGAGGAGTGATGATAGGAACTCCACGATACTCGATAGGATTTGCATTAGATTCATCCCCAGGCATGACCTCCATTTGACTCGAAATTGACTTA